ACACACACACGGCACGCACGCGGCGCGCACACACACATGCACACTCACACACACAGACACATGCACACACACTCGCACACACACACGCACGCACGCACGCGGGCGCGCGCACACACACATACACGCACACACACAGACATATATATATATATATGTATGTGTGTGTGTGTGTGTGTACTTAATACCTACACACCTCCACACCCACGCAACTCGCGAGGCCGCACACCTGTAGCCGCACACGCGCCTGGCCCGCAGCGAGAACCGAGCAGCCGCGCCTCCTGCGTCCTCCTTCGCCGGGCGACCCGCGGACACTGACGCAGGGAAGGGATGATGAGCCAAACACACCCGCGCATACATACACACCCGCGCTTCGTGTTACGCCATAGACCAGGTCCCCCTCTTCCATTCTGTGGCCCCCAGTATATAATAATCAGAGGAGATGGCAGACACTACACAGGGCCATGGAACTGATTAAATACTCACTTCCATGGCCCTGTGTAGTGTCTGCCATCTCCTCTGATTCAGTTTTTTACGTGTTATGGAGAGTGTAATGGTGTCTAGCTCTCGGACGTGAACACTCTATCGAAAGATTCCAATTTATTGATATGTGAGAGATAACTATAGGTAGGTACTGGAGGTGTGAGAAGATTCCATTTAATCGAGGTCGTAATCTCTAAAATTGGTCAGTGGCCACCTGGGAAGTACCCTGTGGCCCCACCTGTCATAGAGCCTCTCTTTTGGCCTGTGGGAAGGGTTAGTGTGCACTGTGCGTGGGAGGGAGAGGGGGGGAGGGGGGGTAAGGTGGAGTGGGGTGGGAGGAAGGGAGGGTGTATGTGTGTGTTTCTTCGGGGAGGACGTACGTGTGTGTGTGTGACTGTGTGTGTGTATATGCGTACGTGTGTGTGTCTGTGCATGAGTATATGCGCGCTTCTGTGTGTCTGTGTGTGAGTATATGCGCGCTTGCGTGTGTGTGTGTGGCTGTGTGTGAGTATATGCGCGCTTGTATGTGTCTGTGTGTTTGTGTGTGAGTATATGCGCGTTTGTGTGTGTGTGTGTGTGTGTGAGTATATGCGCGCTTGTGTGTGTGTGTGTGAGTATATGCGCGCTTGTGTGTGTGTGTGAGTATATGCGCGCTTGTGTGTGTGTGTGTGAGTATATGCGCGCTTGTGTGTGTGTGAGTATATGCGCGCTTGTGTGTGTGTGTGTGAGTATATGCGCGCTTGTGTGTGTGTGTGAGTATATGCGCGCTTGTGTGTGTGTGTGTGAGTATATGCGCGCTTGTGTGTGTGTGAGTATATGCGCGCTGTGTGTGTGTATATGCGTGTGTGTGTGTGTGTGTGTGTGAGTATATGCGTGCTTGTGTGTGTGTTTGTGTGTGAGTATGTGCGTGTCTGTGTGTGTGTGCGTGTATGTGTGTGGGTGTAGGTGTATGCGTATATATGCCAACACCTGCACATAATTTTGTAAGTAATGTATATCTGACATGTTCTACCTCATGCATACCAGTATTGCTTATTGCGCAAAACTCGGAAAGTAATTTGGAAATCAATGACTAAAATTATATATTTAAAGTTTCCTTCACTTAAAATTTGCTTATACCCTTTACTTTCTTCCACATCTAATAAATTATCTTTTTTTATCTTTTTTCACTAATTCTAAACCTTTATCTGTTCATATTTTTCATCATCTTTCACTTCCCATCTTTATTCTTATAGTTTCTTCGTTTTCTTTATTTTTTCTTTCCACTCTCTGTTTTATTCTTTTCTTGTCCCTTCTTTTCATTCTTATTCCTGTTGTATTTCTCCAATTGTTTAGTTTTGTCTTTTATTATTATCATTTTCTCTCTCTCTTCCTTCTTTCTTCTGTCTTCGTTTTTTTATTTTCTTTTTTTCATCTATTGTTATCTTTTATATTTTTTCTCTCTTCCTTTGTTTCGTATTGTTTTTTTTCTTTCTTTCTTGTTTTTTGTTGTTTTTTCTCTTTGTTTCTTATTTTCAATTTTCTTTACCACTTTTTCTCATCTTCTATTCTCTCTTATCTACCGTTTTCATTATTTTTTCCGTTACACTTTACTGTTTTTTTGTGTGTGTTTTTTCTTTACCATTTACTTTCCACCATTTTCATTAATTTCCGATTCTTTTATTTTTCTTTACCACTTTCTCACCTATTCTTTTTTCTCTCTTTCTTTCTTTCTGTTACTTTCGTCATTCATTTCCTTAATTTCTTCTTTACCACTTCATCTCCTAATCTTAATTCACTATTCTTTTCACATCTTTCGTCCTTCCTTTCCATAACTTTCTCCTTTTTTTCTATCTAATTTCTTCCCATCTCCCGTTTTCATTCATTCTCAGACGCGCTTTTGTTTTTGTCTCCGCTCAACAGATGGCGTTCTCATCACGCGCCAATCCAGGTCAGGAGGGAATCGAGGTGACCTTGGCAGCTCCTTGGGCGTGGGCGTGGGAGGGGAGGGTAGAGGGGTAGGTGAGGGGGTTGGGTGGGGTGGATGTGGTACTTGTTGGCGGGTGGTTGGGTGGGTGTTTGTAGGGGGGTGGGCGTGATTGGGTGGGTGGATGTGGGTACTTGTGGGTGGGTGGGTGGGGGTGTAGGTGAGGGGGTTGGGTGGCTGGATGTAGGGGTGAGTGTAGTTGGGTGGGTGGGTGGGTGTTTGTAGGGGTGGGCGTGATTGGGTGGGTGGATGTGGGTGGGTGGGTGGGTGGGGGTGTAGGGGTGGCGTGATTGGTGGTGGATGTGGTACTTGTGGGCGGGTGTGTTTGGGTGGGTGGGGGTGTAGGTGTGGGGTGATTGGGTGAGGGGGGCGTGATTGGGTGGGTGGATGTAGGGTGAGTGTAGTTGGGTGGGTGGGTGTTTGTAGGGGTGGGCGTGATTGGGTGGGGGGTGTGGGCGGTGTGTTTGGGTGGGTGGGTAAGGGTGGGCATGATGGGTGGGTGGATGTGGGTACTTGTGGCGGGTGTGTTTGGGTGTGGGTGGGGGTGTAGGGGTGGGCGTGATTGGGTGGGTGGATGTGGTACTTGTGGGCGGGTGGGGTGGATGGGTGTTTGCAGGTGGGGGTGTAGGGGTGGGCGTGATTGGGTGGGTGGATGTGGGTACTTGTGGACGGGTGTGTTTGGGTGGGTGGGGTGTAGGGGTGGGCGCGTTTGGGTGGGTGATGTGGGTACTTGTGGGCGGGTGTGAGTGGGTGGGTGGGTTGGTTGGAAGGGGTATGAGTTTTTGGGTGGGTGGGTAGGCGTGTGGTTGGGTGTGTGTGTGGGTATTGACATGTTTATTGGGTATATATATGTATACATACATATGGACGTACAGACACAGATTAACCTCAATCATATATGTGCACACATACACAAACACACACACAGACGTACACATACACATACATAAACACACACACACACACACACACATACATACAAACATACGTAAACACACACACACACACACACACACACATACACATACACATACAGACGTGCATACAAACATACGTAAACACACACACACACACACACACACACACACACACACATACATACATACATACATACAAACGTGCATACAAACATACGTAAACACACACACACACACACACGCACGCACACACACACACACACACACACACACACACACACACACACACACACACAACACACACACACACACACACACACACACGTGCATACAAACAACATAATAAACAAACATACACACACACGCCCATGCACCCACAGAAGGAAATTCTATGTCCATATAACCCGACCAAGGAATATTTGAACCTTATACAGAATTTCCTTATATTTCAGAAGAATGGTTGTGTTCATAAGTCTTGTACGTACACCTGGCCCTGGATCATATGACCACACACACACATACACATACAATCACCCCCACCCCCACCCCTTACACACACACACAAACACACGTAGAACCACAATCACTGACAGACAAAAAAAAAAAAAAAAAAAAAGACGACCCCTACTCGAGCTGCGTCCTCCCCCGTCGACGTCAAGCGCTGAACTGAGTGGGCATCGGAGGGAGCGCCACTTAAGGATATAATTTTGGGTTCGTAGTCCTTCATGGCGGGCGATGTTTTGACTAAACTAAGGTTGTGGAATCGTGAAGTTTGTCTGATACAATCTTGTTGCCTTTTTTAATGTTTTCAGGGCTTTTTGCATGTTGATTGGAGGACCGTTTGATCTTTGCTTTTTTATTATTTATTACTTGAATAAAGGTATTATATTGACATTTGTGTATATTCCCTTTCATGAGACTCTGCACATACACACACACACACATATATATGTATCATCATCTCATCATCATCATCTTCAGCCTGAGTCAATCCACTGCAGGACGTAGGCCTCTCCCATTCTTTTCCAGGTTTCCCTGTCTTGCGATGTTTGTTTCCAGTCTTGGCCCCCAAATTTCGCTATTTCGTCGCGCCATCGTGTCATTGGTCTGGCTCTTGGCCTCCTTAAGTTATTTATAGTCCAGTCTGTTACTTTCTTTGTCCATCTGTCGTCTTGTCTCCGACATACATGCCCTGCCCATTGCCATTTCTTCTTTTTAATGCTCTTGAGTATATCTTCTACCTTCGTCTGTTCTCTGATCCACGTCGCCCTCTTCCGATCTCTCAGGCTAATTCCCATCATCGATCTTTCCATCCCTCTCTGGGCGCTTATTATATGTATGTATATATATATATATA